CCAGAGGTGGAATCTGGCTTTTAGACAGAACAGATTACAGCAGACATGATATTTGCTGTGAGGCAAGTCCAAGAGAAGTGCATTGAGCAGAACAAGCCTCTTTACTCTGTCTTCATTGACCTGTCAAAGGCATTTGATAGTGTAAACAGGGAGGCTCTGTGGATCATCCTGAGACATTATGGATGCCCAAGGAAATTCATGAAGTTGGTTCAGCTACTCCATGATGGAATGACAGGACAGATTCTTTACAATGGTGATATATCAGCTGCTTTTACCATTTCCAATGGGGTAAAGCAGGGTTGTGTGCTAGTCCCAGTCCTGTTCAATCTGTTCTTCGCTTGCATGTTATCACATACTGTTGAGGGTCTGAAAGAGGGACTGTACATCAGGTACTGATTGGGCAGCTCTCTATTTCACCTTCGCTGCTCAAACACATGGATGAAGTGCCTCCATACAGTCATCCAAGAAACCCTCTTTGCTGATGGCTATGCACTCCTGGCACACAAAGAACAATGATCTATAGTTGACGCTGGACAAATTTTCAGATACTACTATGCTCTTCGGCTTGACTATCAGCCTGAACAAGACTGAAGTACTTTTCCAGCCCATGCCATATACCAACCCTGTAGAACTAAAAATCACTGCTGACAACACCCAACTGACAAATGTAAACAGCTTCAAATACTTGGGAAGTATCATCTTGAGTGATGGGTCTTTGGACAAAGAAATTGACTCCAGGATCAGCAAAACCAGCCAGGCACTGGAGTGGCTGCCTACTAGAGTGCTCCATCAACACAACATCCATATCTCCATAAAGCTGAAAGTCCACAGAGATGTGGTTATCCCTTCTGTCCTAGATCTGAGTCCTGGACTCTGTATTGAAGGCACATCAAACAACCAGAGAAATTTCACAGGGGCGCTCTCCACTCCATCCTTGACATTCATTGATAAGACCATGTCTCCAACCTGGAGGTCTTGGATTGTGTGGAGTCCACCAGCATTGAGTCCCTGATTATCAGAGCCCAGATGCATTGGGTAGGACACGTCATCAGAATGGATGACTGTCGTATGCCTCGCCAGTTGCCCTATAGTGTACTGGAGTCTGGGAAGAGACCTTGGGGTCAACCACGCAAGCGCTACAAAGACGCTGTGAAAGAAACCCTATGCCACTGTGACATCCAGCCAAGGGAATTAGGAGCTGTGGCTGTTGACAGAACCCTCTGGTGAGCCTTGTGCTATGAAGCCTCCACTGGTTTTGAAGACAGGCGCCGCCAAAAACTGATACAAATCCATGAGGGGTGCTACAGAATAACACCCACGGTTACTACAACAATGGACTTCCAATGCCCCCATTGTGCTAGACTTTATGCTTCCAGACTGGGACTGCAGAGCCACCACTGTGTCCACAGATGAAGTGCACAACAGTGTGTCTTCTTTGAACCCAAAGGACTACCATATACTTGGCAGAAACTATAGGAAACTGCCTCTTGACCAATCAGATTCTTGTTCCGTTTTCTCTGTGCCCAATCAAATCATGTGGTAGTAGGGATAGGCAACCTGGGGTCACATGGGCTCCTGAAGACCATGCTGCTGAAACTCCACTGCTGAGAATTGGCGGTGTGATTTTTTTTTTTTTAGATTTTTTAAATCCCATCTTTATTATTTTTATAAATAAGTCGAGGCGGCAAACATACCTAATCTCCTTCCTCCTCCTATTTTCCCCACAACAACAACCCTGTGAGGTGAGTGGGCTGAGAGAGAGGGACTGGCCCAAAGTCACCCAGCCGCCTTTCGTGCCTAAGGTGGGACTAGAAGTCACTGTCTCTCTTTCTAGCCTGGTCCCTTCACCACCAGACCCAACTGGTTTTATTTATTTATTTACATTATTTTTTTGTAGATAGCAATATCCTATTAGTATTAGAGAAACAACTGATCTTTTCTAGTATTTCTGGCAGTTAATGCATGCTTAAACGTAATTCAAGTTTTCAAAGTGGCCATCGATCCCACCTCCCACCCGTATTCACCACACCCTTCCGGTAATAACCTTTCCCTTCCCAGCTGAGCACCAAACTTGAAGGACACGTGACCCAACCTCCCCGATCCTCCTCTTTTCAAGTAAAAAGCAATAATAATGAAGGTGGCCATGGGAATGACCCGTGATGCCTCCTTCAAATAAAACACTCCCATTCCTACCCTTAAACGCCCCAGCTCCTCAGCCAGGAAAAAGGCCAACAATATTTAGTTCTGCCTCTCCAATGGTATCAACCAAAGGGTTCCTATGTTAGCTTGGTGGGAGGGTGACTGTTGATACACAGACCACAAGCCTCCGGTGGAAGCCATGAGGCTGTCATGTGCATCTTGATTTGCACATAATCGGTGCAAAGAATGGAATTTGGGTCAGGCTACGATCGATGCACATGGCCTTCAGTTGCACCACATAAAGATGCTCCCCCAGTTCCCTCTCCAGGATGCCTAGCTACAAACTCAAGCCCCCAAAGCTTACCCATTTCTAATGCGGCTCTGGAATATGGTGGCTAAAAACCAGGCAGAACCAAGCACAAACACATTGGATTTAAACTTAATCTGAACATAATTTTTTCCTGGCAAATAGAAGGGGTAGAAATGGAAGCAGTAACAGACTTCATTTATTTGGGCTCCAAGATCACCGC